GAGGAGGTGTCTGGGCGCCCTCGGGTGCGCGCTGGGGCTCTCCCCAACCCCCCGACCGACACGGGCCGGGCACCGCTGATGCTCGTCACTCTTCCTTGGAAATTACACTTTTCAATGCCTTTTGTATAAAAAGAGGCTCATCAAACTCACATCACGTATCAGCCTCGTCTGGTACTGACGTGAACCCGAATGCTACCCAAAAGTTCACCACCCCGCCCCTTCTGCCCAAGACCTGAACCCTGGGTTGCTGTGGTGCCTCTCATTAGGGGTTTACGAACATTAACAGAAAGTGAATGACACAGTCTCACGTCAGACCGAAGCCTGGGCCACGCACGGGACGACCTGGTCCTGGCTACCCCTCACACAAGCCGAAGGACACAGCGTTTCGCCCCGGCACCATCACAGCATCGGCACAGGACGCAGCAGAGCCAAAGGTAAGGGCTCCCAAGGGACCAGGGCAGCCCAGCCTGGAGACCCCCGCGAGGGTCCCTTCAGCGGCGCAGGGACACCACGACGGCCACCTAACCCCTGCCCTTCTTCTCATGCTCTTGAAGCACCTGCGAGCAGTCTTTGTGTCAGAGACCGCACAAATGGACCTCTGGTCTGACTCACGCCATGGGGCTGACCACCCTCCCGACGTCCCGGGCGTGAGGGGACCTCTCCTCGAGCACCGCCGGCCCGAGCAGCTAGCCAGAGCGCAGCCCTCCCCTCCCTCACCACGCGCTGCAGCACCACGGCCGCTCTGCCTTCTGCGGCAAAGGTATTTTTATCTCTCATGACTCAGTAACAACCAAAGACAGGCACGGTTTGTCGCAGTCTTCTGGGTGGAATCGGTGTGTGTTCTGCAGCTGGATCACAGCGTTACCACTCGGCTCTGTCCTGCCAGCGCAGCTGAGAGTAACGCTCACCGTGGGCCCTCCCCTGCTCCCTGGCACAGCCACCAGTACCTTCTCTACAGGTTTTAAAAATCGGCTGGCTTCCAGCGTAGCGTCAGGTTGCAGAGATTAAGGAATAAATATGTGCTTCACCAGCCACTAATCTGCAATGCAAGTTAATAGCTAATAATCGAAACACTGGCTATAGATTGTACAGGACGAGGCTGTCGGGCATTAGTGGCTCACACAGGGGCATCTGGCCCAGTTCCCAGCTTCAGTACAAACAGGAGGCTGGTTGATCCATCCGACTGAGAAATACTTTTCCAATGGCTACCTCAATCTGCCTGCCTTGCCTTTGAACGCTCATTTCTGCCACGGATGAATAAATGCACCTCTTGCATTTTTCCACACATCCTTCTAAGTGTCACACTCCATGGCAACAAGAAAAATGAGGTGAGGACTAAGAGATGGCTATAACTGACCGCCTCATCTATGTGAAGTGTGAGAACAGTAGGGACTCGGGGGAGGAGGAAGCAGGCAGGCTTTCGAGCTCATCCTCTCCTTTCTTTCTAGCTAAAGCCACTTCACAGTTTCGTTCCGAAGGACTATATCAGGTAAGAGTCCTTGCAGAACAAGGGGGACCTAAACCTGCCCCAGAGGCGTCATCATCCTCTCCAAACAGCTTTGAGTGACAACGGGTTCAGGAAGCAAATTGTGGAGTTCTGGAAACACAGTTTCGTTACACGCTTCCTTCGAAACCAAAATTCCTCTTTTTTTTTAAAGGGAAAAAACACATCACTAAAACTTCATATTAGGGAACAAACTCTTTGAAAATTGAATTTGTTGCAAATAAATAACCCAATGATTTTCAAAAGTACATTTCCTGTCAGAACCAACCCTTTTTAGTTTTTGTATAATCCCACTTAGGAAGCGAGATAAAGCATTTTGAATTTTCCTTTCAATCGCTGGTTGAGTGCATATTTGTTTTTTGACATACTTATTCCTTAATTGTCAGCTTCCTTTTTCCTAATTCTGAAAAACTGATTTATTTTCAATTGCACTTTAGAGTCACATTAGTAGAAACCGATCTCTGGATCCTGGAAAATTAAATCTTAAGAATGCCAACAAAAAGGTAAGCAAAACTACCCAACGGGGAAAGGTCCTATCTCATGGCTGTAATTAGGAAAACACGTTATAGTCTGGAAAGCAGTTATAAGATTATGAATTTTAATTCTAACATTACTTTGTGTTACAGTAATCTAACTCAGACTGCTTATTGGTTTTCCATACATCAGCTTCCCATTGTTCAGTGCAAAGCATTTTGCTGTTTACTAATATAGGAATACTGAGCTCACCTACACTCACAGCCCTTCACATGTGCTATATGCGCTATAGTTGTGCATACCAGAAACCTAGTTTGAAAGAAAGTTAAAGCCACAAAGCTAGCAAGTGAAAAATTATGAAAAATCAATATTTGTTATCTATTTCTTACATATATTTCCCCAACATAAAGCAGTGTTGTAACTAAAATTCATAAAAGTGCTTTCAGATTACATAATTCTGTAACGCGTACGCCCATTCTTCTGCCATTGCCTAAGTTTGGGAGCTTGGAATTGCAAGCTAGTGCTCTTCTTAACACTGCCCTCTTCCTTTCTTTTGAAAACAAAAATGAAGAATCAAATCTGTTGTACACACCTCCCTGACCACAGTTTGGGTCATCGGGCAGGTCTAGATCTTTAGCTTACCAGTAGGTGAGATAATAAAGTAAGAGAGAGTGAGCCAGGTCCCCAGGTAGCCCTTATCGCTGCAGAGATGACCCACCATCCCTGAGAGCAAACAAATGAAGTCACGGACCTGGGGGTTCAGCTCAAACCCTGCAGGATGCTGCTCTCTCCCAACGCGCTTTCCTGCTCCAGGGGCTCTGTGCTGTCTCTGTTCCCAGCCCGCAAGCCTGCAGGTCCTGCTCTTCTTCTCACATCCTTGGCTGGCTCTTGATCCAATGCCTGCTCTCCAACTTGCCCTGTCTGAACTCTCCCTTAATGGGGACAATTATCAGATACTGTCTACTACAGACTGGATGAGGGAGAGGCAGAAATCAGGAGGAAAGCTTTCTCCCTTTGACTTTTCTAAGTAACGTCTGGATTTTATTTTTTTATTGTTTGTGACAGACAGTTGCAGTCATTGCATGTGTAGGGAGCAATATGCCGTGCAGACACCAGGAGGAAGGAAACTGCAGGGCTGTATTTTTAAAATTTAATTTAAGGATGTGATTTCACAGGATTGAGGTGATCTGAAAATGGAATGACTGGAAGTAATAGCCGAGCAACCTCCCACTAGAGCACGCAACCAGAGCAGCCTCTCAGTCATGTACATTTTAGTGAATTAAACAAGCACTAAAACACCAAACCCAGCAACACAACAACCTTTAAACCAAGACATCTGTTTAGAGGTTCTACATTGTACATACCGACTAAAGAAAAAATAAAAAAAAGACTGTAACCTGCTATTTCCAATGTTCTCACTCGTTCTAAAACCTCAACCATAAGACTGGTTCAGCCTAGGTCCTACTGGGACTCCGCTTCCCTTACTTGCCCCTGGAGCAGTCCTTCAGGGTGCGGGAGAAACAGCTGTTTTCTAGAGCACTATTTGCTCTCAGCGTTAGCTGGATAATGTATGCGCGTTTTCTGGCACTAATCTCACAATCAGTAAGTCTTATTATGAAGACTCCACTGAATTGATTTTAAAGACATCCGTGGCTTGCAGTAAATTCCAATTAGTCACTCTCTGAAAGACACATTGTGTAAGTTTAATCCAGTCACACAATTCAGTCAACATGGGACAAATTACCTTGCTTAAAAGGCAAATCAATGCATTTCCCATTTGTTGAGTAATAAACCAAAATCATTTCAGGGGGAAAAAACAAAAAAAAACAAACCAGAAAATTCAAGAGTTAGGTTAAGCTCACAAGTCCTAAAATGCCCAGCTTAGACTTGATCAGACCTCCTGAAGTCCACGTGCATTTCCAATACGATGTAGTGTTCAGTTTCATGATCACCTGGCTCCTCTCTCACACACAGTATCGTGTTTTCTTCAGTCTCGGGAATGCGCTGCAGGCTTTTCATTCTCATATGGTATTTTCATGTTGTTATGACTAAACATGCCTTTATTGTTTCAGACTACATATATAATACGATCCTTTCCCTCTAAGGAATGTATTTTAATAATAATAATAACCAGCAGTTATATTGCACACATTTTTTAAAAAATCAAAAATGATGGCCTATTGTACATATCTCAAGAAACAAGATATTTGGGTTGCTATGCAGTTAGCTGCTGTATATTTTGTTGTGTTCTGTTTCACTGTAGAGCTAACTTAGCCAAATGTATATGCTCAGAAAATCCTTCCTTGCCTAAACACTTTATAAGAGTATTTTATGGGCTCAGTACACTCTTTTCAAAAGCTAATCAGTCAGATTGTGAAACTGAGCCCAATCTCCTCAATGCAGTTCTTGGTGGAGGCTTGTTCCATGCTAAATATAATTTTCCCAGTCATATCTTTCACAGAATTGTTCCAAGGGGGGAAGGGGAGCCCAAA